TCTCTCTCTCTCTCTCTCTCTCTCTCTCTCTCCCTCTCTCCTCTCTCCTCTCTCCCTCTCTCCCTCTCTCCCCCTCCTCCCCCATCATATTTACCTTCATCCAGACTTTCATCTTTTGTGGCTAATTCCCTACAGGATGGGATGGGAGGAGCAAACCAGAGATTCCCACAACAAAACCAAATCTCTAAAAAAGTCAGCCTCTGAGCTTGTGAACCAAGCATTTCGAGGTGGTTTTTAAAGTACTTTTGGATTTTGAATATAAAGGACCTTTATCTTGGGAAGGTGTATGCACCTGGAATTGGTGGTGGGAAAGTGAACCGGGGCCTCTCATCTAGCTGTCCTGTCCCAGAGCTCTTAGCCGGATGGGCACTTTGTGGAGGAGATACTGGGCACCAATGTCATTGCTGTTTCTGGAAGGTATTGTGCTTATGCCTAAAGGAGCTGGAAAATGCTTGTTTTTGTGTAAGGAAGCCATCCAGAGGCAGGTAGCTGGGCGTTGTTTGCATCAGTGTTTACGGGTGTGTGAGAAGGACTGTGATGCAGTTGCCAAGGGCATTGGGGTACTGGATAGGGAATTGCTCAGGCTGTGGGCACCCCTCCTTTTCCAGTGGCCCCGAGTTGGCAGATCATTTCATGATACTTTGTTACAGACACAAAAATAAATTTAAAACTATGATAGTTGAAGTCTTTGGGGAGAACCTTGAAACCGTCTCACCTGTACTACCGTGAAAGAAAGCAAGCATTCCTTTTCAGAAATCGGTTTAGAAGGAAACTGTACATATGTTGATATTATTTCTGTTAACTGGGGACAGATACTATATTGATAACCCGGAAATTATTCGCCTGGCTAACGTTGTAGAACCTTACAGACAATCCTATATAAGTAGGACAGGGTCAGTTGAGGAACATTATATGGAATGTGGGGAATTCTATTTTTTATTCTGTTTTTATTGAAGGGTATTATAGTTGCTGAAACAGTGGCATTGATTATTTTGAGTCGCAGTTAAGTTGATTAGGATACAGGATGTTACATCCATTTGAGGGGTCAGCACAGTTATTACCTGATACTCCCCTTCCCTCTTTCCGGGATTTCCACACCTGTTAGCCAGCAATTTTAGGCAATGCCACTTCATTAGGGGACTGTGTTGGAAACTAAAGCATTTTTGTTTCGGTAATTTCAGATCATTTCACAACTGGGTTTGTTTGGAAACAGAAGTTTACCTGCAGAGTGGTTCACAGGTGTTCTGCTAAATGCTTCTTGATTAAAAGAAAGTAGATCTGTTTAGAGAAGGAAACCAGGAGAGGAAATAGGCATTTTCTCATTTCAGCCTCAAAGACACACAGAACTTGAAACCGAGACACATTATATAGACACAGAATATAGTTTCATAGTTTGCCCTAAAGATAAAATTTGAGTTCTTTCTAAGGTACCAAGAGTACAGCTCTATTTAGCTCTGTGTCACCAACCCTAACATCCAAATACAAGTACTCTGTGCATTCAGCCCTATGAATCGCACAGACAGTAGATGTTCTAGCTTGAGCGGTTAGCTTGTGGCCCATGGTTAGTTAGAATGCCGAAGTACAGAGATACCTAGTGTTAATATAAGATGCTAAGGATTTGCATTTTCCCTTTGATGCCAGGTCACATGGGTGCAAGATTCAGTAGAGTTCAGCATCTTCAAAGCAGCATGATTTTCTGCCCCCCCCAAATAAAGTCAGAACTCAGGAATAAACAGTCATGGATTACATGTGCTGCTTTGTTGTATTGATTTCATTATAGAAGCTCTGAAATGTAAGATGAAGCTTGCCATAGTGTAGAACAATAACCTGGCATGTTCCTATACGTCACAAGCTTTTGGGAGTCTGTGTACCACCAGGTAATAAAGAAAATAATACTGCCGTCTCCCAGAGTATTGCCCTAGGAAATTGGAAGTGTGCTCTAGGCCTTGGATTAGATCAGAAGCAAGCACACCCTCAGGTGTGAAACCCCAGTCAAGGCTCTCCGTGTTTCTGAGGGCTGCTGGTCCTTTCCTGCATGTCCAGGTTTAAGTGTCTTAATTTTACAAGTAAAACTGATCTTAATTTTTGGTAAAAGTTTTAAACTACAGTCTTGATTCTTTTTCCTGTGCTTGTTTCACCTGAGGAATTCTGGCATTTAAGTTTACCAAAGATGCCAGAGCAAACCAAGAACTGTCCTTTGATTTTAGATTAACATTGTCTTTGTGCTATTGGAAGTCAGTTGTTTGTAACCATAAACCCTGTCCAGCAGCCAGCCCTAAAGCCACCAAAGCCTCTGTTTGCTGTTTCTGGGTAACCGTTCTCTTGCAATTTCTGGTTGCACTGTGATAGCATGATTACTGGTTGGTAATTTAGCATCTAGTGCAGTGTGCTGTATATTTATGAAAGTACGCATTGGTGAAGGGTGATAGTTTTAAAATCATTTCTTTATTACCCAAGCACTTAGGCTTAGATATGGGCTGGAGGGAAGAATTAGACCCTGAGACCCCAAGGGAAAATGCTGTGAATATAAGGTATTGTCCACTGACCTGCTGTGCATGGTGGGTATTGATCACAACTGCTGCGTTGAGCAAAGGGGTAGAGAACCTGGCCCTGGTGGTGGGCGGCTGTTTAGTGGTGTGGCTTATTAATAATGATCGATAGACGCAAAGAAACTATTTTGGGCACTTTCCAGTTTTTGTGCCCCAGATCAAGGAACGATTAGATGTTTTAAGTCATTTTACAAACCAAAAGTACTTGGGGGAAAATGTACGTATTTCTATTTGAGTGATATGAACATAGTTCAAAGAAAACGATCAATCCCTTTACCCACAGGTTATATGTAGCAGCTGTGTAGTATAGTTTGGGGACAGTTAATAAATGCTTAGCAAGTATTTTCTTCTAGATAGAAGCTATCTGAACCCTTTGGTTTAGGAATTATTTGTTTTCTAAGTGCTCTGATTATTGATTTTAATTTGCATCCAACCCATTATATCTATAGATCTAGATCACCCCAGTTTGTTCCTCTGGTTTAGTTTGCTGCCGTCACCGTTTTTCAGCAGAAAAGTGTCACTTAATTCCATAAAGCTTTTATTTTTTAAGTCCTCGGGTTTTTTTATACCTTCAGAACTTATTTCAAAAATGTGATTTGGTTGATTTGCAGTTCTACCAGTAAAATGTTAGAAGCTTAGTGTGTAGTGACATGTGTTAGAAAGCTTCTTCCTCTTCTTCCTCTTCTTCCTCTTCTTCCTCTTCTTCCTCTTCTTCCTCTTCTTCCTCTTCTTCCTCTTCTTCCTCTTCTTCCTCTTCTTCCTCTTCTTCCTCTTCTTCCTCTTCTTCCTCTTCTTCCTCTTCTTCCTCTTCTTCCTCTTCTTCCTCTTCTTCCTCTTCTTCTTCTTCTTCATTTAGACATTCACCCAGGTAGTATAGTGGTAGGAACATTAGAGATTCTGTCCAGTGATTTGGTCACATACAGCCTTACGTGTTTTACGCTAGATCCTTGCTTCTTCACTTATAATCAGTGCAAAGTGAAAAGCTAAGGACCAGGATGGAGGAGTCAGTGACTACAAGGCTCTCACGTCACACTGAGAATCCTCAGGCAGTGTTCACGCTGCCCAGGTGAAGGAAAGGCTGGTGGTGCTAATCATCTCCTTAACACCTCTAACACCTCAAAGTTCACACTGCCTGGCACTTAACAAATGTGAGTTTACCTGCAGTTTCCCAGGTTAGGCAGGCCTACACAAGGGGATGCTGGTCCTGATGGCTAGGACCCACTTTACCTTTCTAACTGCCTATAAAATTAGTGTCTCTGGGATTTGGGCTTAAGTGCACTTTTGAATATTGTAAACCACAAATTAAGGCCAAAGAACCCATTTTCTCCATATGGGCCATGTAATCTAATTGGTCAGTTATATAATTTAGATAATTAAGATAGCAGTTGATCTATAAATCAAACTATGTCTAAGGTGTTGTGTGTAACTGAATGAGGAGTTGTGTTGAATACTGGTCTCCTGTCAACTCTCATCCCTCTCAGCTACCTATAGTCATTCAAGCCAGACACAGCACTTTGCACAATTTGATCACAACGTGATGTGTCAGGTACAGTTCTGTTGAAGAGCAGATGTTTACTAGGGCTCTTGAATTATAAATCTACAGTCAAGAGCTTTTATGTGATCTTATCTGGCATTTTCTCTTGTGATGTATTGATTTTCTAAGCCCTTGTCTGAATGCAGTCCATGGTTGAATTCCATCTGTTTTTCAAGAAGTAAATAAGACAGTCAATCAGTTATCAACTAGCATATCAGACACTGTTCTAAGCACATTATAAATATGAACTTTTCTGTACAAGAACCTCCTGAGGCAGGTTCTGGTCATTGTCCTTATTTTTTTAATTAATTTTTATTTTATGTGTATCAGTGTTATGCCTGCATGTGTATAAGTGCAGCAGTGTCATGCAGTGCCCATGGAGGACAGAAGAGGGCATCAGATCCCCTAGAACTGGAGTTACATGCAGTTGTTAGCCACCATGTGGGTGCTGGGATTTGAACCCTGGTCTTCTGCAAGAACAGCCAGTGCTCTTAACCATTGAGCCATCTCTCCAGCCCTGCATTGTCATTATTTTAGACTTGGTGAGGCTGATGGGCTCTCTCTGTGTTATTTTAACTTACAGGTATACAAGATACACC